ACCCCTGCTTTTTGAAGCCATGTTTATGAGTTATGTATACTCAGCCACCACTACCCCAAAACGATAAATAGATTCACACAAAAAAAAAGTAGAAATCGCCATACTCTTTATTGCCCCCTCCCATGCATAAACAAAGCCACGTGGTTACTATTAGGTATATACATTCTGTATATGTCTATTTATTAGCTCCACTGATCTAGTACAATGATCAAAATGTGTTTTAACACCCAAATTTCTATTCTTCTGTACAGGTGTCTGGTGTACATACTATTCCAAAGTGCAGGGGCCATAGCAGGTGCAGGGCTACTCAAAACCACTGTCCCAGATTCCTATGTAGGCACACTGGGCGTAATTGCCCCTGGTGAGGGCGTTTCCTCCATGGAGGCGCTGGGTGCTGAGATCATCATAACTTTCCTGCTGCTCTTTGCAACCTTGGCCATGGTGAGTGACAGGTTCCAAACCTGGATTTTATCAAAGCTTTTTATTACATTGTACTTTAGGCGAGTGTACCATCCTTCATTGATAGATTTTCAGTATCTATATAGGTTAGTGGTATCTATATAGGTTAGTGGTATCTTTACATTGTAACTAACAAAACATAGCTGGAAGCTTTGTTCACCTAGCTCTTGTGGGTATTGAACATTAGTTGGGAAAGAAAAGGTGATTGGTCATTGTGTTGGCCACATGACACCCTCAATAACCGTCAGCCACAGAAACAGATGATCTTAGCATCATCTGTTCTATGGATAAGAAAGTCTGAAGGGGAACTTTATTTTTACTAACCTAACGGTTAGTGGGAAAAGGGAAACAACTCAACCTAATGAAAGCTTGCCAACAAAGGCTCCTTACCTTACTAAACATTGTCGAAACTTTACACACACGAATAAAAATTCATGGTGAATAACTGTTGTCTGTTCTCAGCTAGATCCAGGTAGATCAGACATGCAAGGTTCTGTCCCCTTGATGGTTGGCCTGATCGTCACTGTCAATGCACTGTTTGCAGTAAGTCACAATACTTTTCTCCCTTTTATGCAGATTAAAATCATTTTCAACATAAATTATTGTTGGCTACGCGGTCTTCAAACCATAGTCATTATTAAAATAACAAACATTGGTTGAACTGCTTTATTGCGATTATGATTGTTAGCCTAAGGTCTATACTGTGAGGACTTTTATTTCTTAATTTTCTTTCCTTACCAATACTCAAAAGCAATCTTTCTCTGGGCAGAGATGCTACTTTCTGTATTATAAAATTCATACTAAACACACACATTAAGAGCAAGGAATTTATGGTTTAAAAGAGATTTTAAAAATTTTATTTTTACTTTTTTATTTCAAATTGTTTTTACGTTTGTGAGTGTCAAAAGTTAAAACAAATACATACACTGCTGATTCAAATGATCATTTTCAATACAATTTTCTTAAGCACATTTTAATAAGTCATTTTGTAAATATTTCTAAGAAGAAATTCTAGCAGAGTTGTGTTTATAGAGCGCCTTAAGGTAGCACGGAAAACCTTCTCCCAGATACTCCTTCCCCACTGGTCCACAAATGAGATTTGACCAAAGCGCTCTGAGCATGCCATAAGCATGAGCGTAACACTATAAAAAAACTATAATTTATTTCATTTTAATTATTCATTTTGTAAATGTTAATTGTCTATTCAGAAACAAAATATTGAACTGTTTAATTAGAACATTATCTATGATGTAAATATAAAAATTTTTTTTAAGGCTCAAATATCTGGAGGGTGCATGAACCCAATAAGAAGCCTGGGACCTGCTGCGATCCAGGAAAAATTTGAAAATGCTTGGGTATGTCTTCTTTACTATCTTTGGCAACTGATATTGAACTGAGCTTATTCTGCCTCTCTGTGGTTACAAATTTATTAGGAAATATAGATTTAAAAAAAATATTTTTAGACATATTGATAAATTGTTAGTTACGCCATGTGCCAAATGTAGGTGGCTTTTAAAGGGAAATATTTGAAGCCATGGCTATCTTGTGTGCACGCAGTAGCTGAGTGGCTAAGCACTTGGCTTTCAAAGCTGGGATCCTGGGTTCAAATCTCAGTGAAGACTTCTTAGTTGGGGAAAGTAAAGGCTGTTGTCCATTGTGCTGGCCACATGACACCCTGTTTGTTAACCATTGGCCAAAGAAACAGATGACCTTAACATCGTCTGCCCTATAGATCACAAGTTCTGAAAGGAGAAACTACAGCTATATTGTTTAAAAAAAAAATGAGGATCAACTCATAATCAATCCTGACACTAATACTTTATGACAGTCATTAAAGAAGAGTAAATTGAAATGACTGAGAAAGTGTATAACTAAAAATAGACCACAGGGGAGATTAATTTTAATATTGCATCTAGTCAGACATGTATTGGAAAGTATTGTCTCCCCTTTTTCTAAATAACTCTTAATTCTGATAATACAAAATATCTAACCAAAAGGGAAAGCTAGTAGGCCTTGTTTGTATTCTATAAAATGTATATTATTTTTGAGTATAGTGTGATAGTAATATCCTAAGATATTATATGCTTAGATATAATGCTATATTGCAAATTATTAATAAGACACATTATATTTACATGGGTATTTGCCAAATAGCACCATATAGTCATGACATTATTATTATTATAATAATCAGTGATCAACCTTTCTCTATGAACTGTAAATAAATTTTTTTTATTTTTATAAAATGTGGAATTTTACATTATTACTTTAACTTAACTAACTTTGAAACTTTAAAGAAAAATCGGTGTTGGTGGCCGAGTGGTAAAGCGCCTACAAACTGAGGCCCCTTGGGCTCAAATCTTGGTGAAGACTGGTATTTTGAATAATAAATATAATAATAATAATTTAATTGATAGAGCGCTGTTAACAAACAAAATATAGGCACAAGGCGCTGTGAGAACATATCAAACATAAACATGAGAGCTAAATCCTGTATACCTGACATTAGTTGTGACAAAGTAACAGTGGTTAGTTATTGTATATGCAGTTCGTCCATAGTGGTTCGATTTGACTTTTGTCATTCAGGGAGCTGAGGGCTTTGCACTGAGGTTTTGTGTCTCCTCATGTGGCTGGTGAGACTTATGTGAGCCCGGAATGCACACTGTGCTGACCACATGACACCCTCATTAACCATCTGTCATTGAATTAAGTAATTTGACAATCAGCTGCCCTACAGATCATAAAGTCTAAGATAACATGATAAGTCTTTCTTTTCTAATTCTACAGATCTATTGGGTTGGGCCTATGATTGGAGCTATTGTTGGATCTCTGTGCTACGATCTCTTGTTTGCAACCCAGCCTATTGGTCTGCGCAGACTCTGCAAGTCTCCTGAAGTTCCAGACTCTGAGAAGGCTTACCCAAAAAAGCTTGAAAAGAAATCTGACAAACCTTTGCCCAAACATTTGGAGAAAAACTACCACAAAAATGACAAATACAATCACAAATCTGAGAAAATTTATCACAAATCTGGCAACGACGAGCAAGTTGGGGACCTTCTGCTAAAAAGGTATCGCCACATTGACCCCCGTGAAAATGAAAGTAGAATCTAAACAAATTGAACAAGAAACCCTGTACATAGAGTTGTAACTTTAAAATTTTCGTTTTTGGAGTATTTATGAACTTCACTGATAAAATAGGGCACTTGTAGGAAATTTTGGGCAGAAAGTTTTTTTTTTTTTTTTTTAAATCTCACAAATTTATGTACATTTTAAAAATAATTTAAAATATTTTTAAAAGCTTTTTTTTTTTTTTGAAATCTACATTATATAATTATTTGACATTAAATTTGATTGACAAAATATTTACTTATCTGTGCATTTACATGAGTTAGAGATTTTCTAGTCACCTAACTCAAGGTACTATAACATGCTGTATTCAATTTTTAGCACAAAATTTCTTTACAAGATTGTCTAGTTGCAATTACAAAAATATTGAATGCAGAATTTTTCATTTAATTTTATCCTCAATGTTGATATTTCTTTCATTGGATAGCCACCAAGTGCCTTTTTTAAATGTCTGTAGGTAGGTAGATTTTGGTGCATTTATAGAAAGCTAAATTCCCTCTAGTATAAATGATGATTTGTTGTAAGCTATATATGCCGGTACCATATACATTTAATGCAAACTTGCCAAGAGAATTGTTCTGGAATGATTATCTTTTGAAATTGACTTACAATTATCTTTTCTCTATAAAGTCCCATGATGTAAGGTAGCAAATGTGATTATGATATGTTGATAGTTTAGTAGGCCTATGTTGTATGCATGTAAATGTTCGGAACACTTGTTGAGTAAAAGTTGGACAGTTAATTACATAGTACTGGCCTAAACTGTAACTCTAATTTTGTACATAACATATTTAATGACATAATAAATTTTTTATTGCTATACAAAACATTGTTAAAGATCCATTCATTCTAACTACAGCTATTTAAATACTCCTTACATATTCAACAATACATTTTCAGGCATTAGCACAAAGTGTTTTAACTTTTTTCATCATATTTTGTTTCATTTTAAAATTTAATTTCGTTTTTTATTCTGCCGTTGTTTCCACTTTTTGTTACTTCGCATTTATATTTTTCAAAAGCATTTGAATGTTTGATTGAGATTGTTTCTATATTTATTTTGTTTCTAGAGAACTAGGCACATTCCTCGTCCCATATGCTAGGACAAATTTGTACAAATACTCCTTCTTCCCTAGTGCTATTAGAGCATGGAATGGGTTGCCTGAGCTAGCCAGAAAAACCAGTGACTTGGCAGAATTTAAGTCATTGGTTAATATGCATGACTAAATGCATGACGCGTAGGACGTAATCATCTTCTTTTTTGAAGTAACGTCTGTATTATATAAGATAAGAAGATAAGATAACTTGTGACCTTTTCTACCATGTAGAAAAATAAATCATTTTGATTTTGCAAAATAGGTTTATTTAAGTGATTTGTTTCACTGGTTCTCAGTCATTCATGTTTTTGTTTTGATACACAGGTTTATTTGAGTGATTTTTCTTCACTGGATTGCTTTCAAGTCATTTTTGCTTTGATAGGTCATAGATCAAACCAAGCAGTATTCATTTTTTTACACATCAATTCATTGTAAATAAATGAATTCATACACTGTGCTTTTTGAAAAAGACTTTTTTCGAATCTTGTATTTTGTATGCATTTTGAATAATTGATTTTAAAAATTTGTCATAATTATTTCATTGTAACCTTCCATGTATAAATAGATTAGCGTTTTTTTAAAGTTTTCACTACTGTTGGAATATTTAGCATGCATTCAGTTCAACTCTACTTGTACATATTTGTTCTTGTATTGTTTTTGACATACTTGACCTTAATTTAAGGTCAACACAAATGATGGGACTTAGACTGCTTACACCTACAGTTGGTCCAGTATTTCATTTGTTAAAATCATGACCTATTTTTTAAATTATGTAAATGTTTGCTTATTAAAAGCTGTCATAGTTATAGATCTAGTGCTTTTTTTTTTGTTTTTTGTTTGCTGTTTATGTGTAGTTTTCTGGATTTGGAAATATTTTGTTTCTTTTCATCTTATCTTATTTTTTGTGTTACCTTCTGCTTTGAGTTTTTATAAACTTGTATTAACTCTGTCTGTCTGGTCCAAAGTTTGTACACGTTATTTCTCCCACACCCATTCCCTCACACCCATTTCCGGATAAGCTGAAACTTCGCACAATTATTCATTGACATAGACATGGATCAATAAAAAAAAAGAAACCAATTAGACAATTAATTACTGGTAACTCATTATTTTGTTTAATAGCAACAAGGGAAACTAATATTTCAGTATTCTCAGATATGGGTAAATTTGTTGGGTTTAGCCCCCTTATATAATTAACGTTATTTATCCCTCTTGCATTCAATGATTAAGTTGATACTTTAAACAATTATTTATTATACCTACCAAAACATGAACAAATAAACAAAAATACTCACTTAGTCAATTGATTACTTGTCATTATTTTGTTGGATATCAAATGAGGGAAATAATTTGTACGTTATTGGTAGATATAGTTATAAGGACAGAGTTCTCCCCCTTTAGATAAGTGTTTTTTTTTAAATGATTTTTTTTATATAGTTTGATTCATTGATCTTATTTTATATTTTGCGTTTGAGTTAAAATACTGTGAATGTGGTTGGTTATTTTTTAAACAATGCTTTCACATTGCAATGTCAGAAACACTTCAAAGGAAGGGAAGAGCTGGAATCAAATACAAACATTATCTTTCAATCATCTACCCTATAGATTGTAAGATGTGAAAGTATGGCCTCTCTTGCTAATTACATTTTAATTTTTATATATAATCTTTATTTCAAATACAAATTTGGTAGTTGAAGTTTTCATAGTCAATATATCTCGTATCCTTTTAGAATTTAGATAAATCGCTAGTCGCACCTTCTCGGCCTACAAGTGACACCCAGGTGAAAATCACTATTTATAAGAGGATATTAATAGCTCCGGAAATATATTTATAGGATGATATACTTTGCGTAAAAGAGGCAAACAATGAAACATATAGGTCTTCATATAAAAACAGGCGGAAGAGGAAATATATATATATATTTATTTATTTATTAAATGAGGTCTTCGAACGATTCAATTGAAAAACTCGCCAGTACTGTTCTGTTTCTTGCGTAAGGGAGAAGTGACGAGGTAGTATGGCCAGCTATCCTCCCTATGGGGCAGGGGCGTAGCTAGGAATTCTCCATCATTTGGGGACCGGGCTTGGCCTCTTTGGGGGTCCCTGCATTTAGCGTAATATTTAATATTTAATGTAATAAACACTTATTTGGGGGCCGGAGGGATTTCAAATTCTCCCCTCTCCCCCCCCCCACCCTAGCTACGCCACTGCTATGGGGATGTGATATATTTACATTCCAAGTTGCAAAAAGCCTTCACTTATTCTGTGGCAACATTAATATTTATTTATTCGACCAGATCTGAGACGCTATGCCTTACATTTATTTAAAGTATTTCTACGGTACAGTAATTCAGATCTACGTTTAAAGTCTTTTCTTTTTCCTCCTTGTTCTCATTGTTATGTTGGAGCGTTCAGATGACTAGACCAATATATGAGATGAACTTCTCAGTGGTTTCCAAATCAGGCAGCTCTTCATATAGTTTTCTTTCTATAAAAGTGCTTTTGTGGCCAGTGTCTTGTTCGGGCCTCTTGATAAAGAATGCAGTTTTGAAGGACATCATCAGCATTCTCAGGTGACAGGAGTTGGACTGGTCGTTCATTAAATCTAAAACATTAATTCTATACCAGTGTTTTTACTTAGGACGACTCCCTAAATCAAACAGCCAGCTATTGGGCCTGGGCAACAAAACGTTTTATTGCATTTCATGGATTCATTACCTTCTCTGTTATTAGCGCAGTAAGTAAAAGTAAAGTTCTTCTCTCAGACCTTGCGAGCTAACAGATATATGATGCTAAGGTCATCTGTTTCTTTCGCCGACGGTTAACGATCAGGGTGTCAAGTGACCAGCACAAGGACCGACCACCTTTACTTTCCCCAACAAAAGTCAGATACCCAATAGAGTTTGTAAAAAAAAAATGTTTTACATGTTTCGGATGTTCCTTCAGAGTTGAAGATAATTACTTCCTAGTCCAAACCTCCCGCAGGACGACAGGAGAAGGGAGCGGGCAGGGTTTGAACCCTGGACCATCGATACATCTGAACGACAGTCCAGCGCGCAAACCGCACGACCAGGCAGGTGGACTCAGAGCACAAGTTAAAGTTAAATTTAAAGATGCTTTGACGGATAAAAATGTATGAGCGATATTCGAGGCAGCAGAGCATTTACAAATAGTCGTATCATCATTAGGTCAGCAAGACATCTTGTAGTTTTACCTAAGGATGTCAACAAAACAGTTTGTACACAGTTCTTGGAAGCATTGGGACCTTTCTTACGATAAAAAGACCTGTAGACCTATAGAATGTAACAGCCAGTAATTCACAAAGTGGTTCTTAAAAAAAAAAATGTTCCGAGACGCTCGAGACAACCATATTTGGGTGAGAATCAACGTCAGTAGGTCACTTCATAACATTGTATTTATTAAAGATTGGTCCGAGGCCCTGTGTTCCATGAGAAACACAAAGGTAGGAGATGATAATTTAAAGATTGTAAATAACTTCATTTTTACTTCCTTAATACTCAAATATGGATTTACTAGTACTCAGCCACCACGCACACCCATTCCAGCAGGTAATGCGGCTACACATGAATGGTTCCTCATTGATTGAATGTAGGTTCCATACGTGCGCCTATCTCATCGTAAAACTTTACGCGTCTACTGTCCCTTTGCTATTCATATGTATATAAAATATTTTCAGATAAAAAGATTTAGAGATCTAGGGAACTTATCTGTTTTTTATTTTATAAGTGTTCATTCAGCGTTGACGAATAGGTTGAATAGGGTTATTGTGCTGTTTTCATCATGCAAGCTACACATTGGACTCAATTCGTTAGTAGTGAATAGAAAACACTATTGAGAATCATATTATTGTTGCGATTGGTTGTAGGGTAGTATGCTGCATAGAAATGTTAGAGTTATAAGGCAATTGTCTGTATTATTGAGGATGTAGGATTGTGAAATAGTGTGGCTATTAGACTGCAGGATATAGGCCTATGTAGGTTAAAGCTGGGTCTGTGTTGTCAAGTGAAATAGTGAAATACTGCACTCCTCATTGATCTTCTTCGGACTCGAAGACAAGCGTCTTGCTTATTGTGTCATAACATACTACTGTTGTGTATGACATCTGCAATCCGAGACCCTTCCATTATGCTCTCTCTCCATGTGGATCTATCCAGTGCCACTTTTTCCCAGCTGCAAGTGTCGATTTTGAAGAGCTACATGTCACGTTTGCATACATCCGTATAACGTTTATTATGATTGTGGTTTAGATGATAGTATCCCGACTTGATTTAATGGACATAGGTCCAGCAGACATACAGCACCCGGTAGCTTCCGAACAGAGTTATCTTACAAAGGCCGCAGTACAGAACACTTTTGAGACCAAAGGAAACCTTTACCTTTACCTACCTCTTAGTCTACTGGACCGTTGGGGCACCATACAAGATTTGTCTCCATTCCTCTCTGTCTTTCGCCTTAGTTCGAACCTCTTTCAATGGCAGGCCCGTCCATTCTTTTATGTTGTCTTCCCATCCCTTTCTCTGTCTGACTCGTCTTCTTTTCCTGGCTCTGTTCCCTGAAGGAAGGTCTTTGCGAGTCCCGAATACCTTTTAATATGGCCATAGATATTTAGTTTGCGGTTGTTGTTTTTTTGCGATAGTTAGTAGGTCATCGTGGGGTCCAATCGATGCAGTAACCCTGTCTCTAATCTCTTGGTTTGTGACGCGGTCTTTGAATGTGATAACTAGAATCCTTTTGTGGCATCTCAATTCCATTGCTAGGATCATCCTTTCTACCTCTGCAGTCAGCGTCCAAGACTCATAAGCATATAAAAATGTGGCCATGGCCAGGGAGCGCATCAGTTTGAGTTTGGTGCCGCGGGCTAAGCCTTTGTCTTTCCATCTTGTTTTAAGTTTTGAAAGGGCTGCTGTGGACTGTGCTATTCGGGCCAGTAGTTCAGGTTTCGTTCCCTCATCGGAGACAAAGCTCCGAGGTATTTGAAGCCACTGATACTAGTTAGAAACCTTAAAACTAAGATATGCTTAGATGGCGAAAAGACTACAGTTATTTCTGCTTTGGATGTAGCAAAAGATGTAGGTCACAGCTGGGACTGCTTAGCCACGTGAAATGCTCCACTCCTCGTGAATCTTTGAACTTAAAGGCGAGGCTTACTATATTTGTGTAAGCTAACACATTAAAGGTTGAATGTTGGTCGCTTCTATGATTGTAGGCTCTTGGCTTTTAGACCGTCAAGTTTATCGTATGCCAGTTATAAATTTAAACGTAATAGAAAAATGCGTCAAGTACCGATGTTTTCAACATTTACTAAGGCAGACAAAGGAAATTGGACAATGTGAAGTAATTAAAGGTTGAACTATTCCAGATAACGCGCGATTCAATAATGCACCAAAACTGACTTTGATCTGCACCTAGATATATATTTTCTAAAAAAAAAAAAAAGATCTAGATCTAGCTTTTTTTTTCTGACAAGCGTGTTTGTTAGGCCATAAATTATTTATTGGTTTATTTATGGATGTTTAGTCAGCTACTGTATAAAAGCATTACGCTCTAAGCTTGAGGACACGGACGATTGAATACTTGTCCTACAGTGAGGAAAACATTTACAAGGAAACAAAACTTCCTTGCGCAAGGCAACTTTCTGTCCACACAAACGTTTACCTTTGACCTCAACTCGTTTATTTTTAACTTTTAGAA